TTTTAAAAGCCTCAGGAATCTTTTGCAGGTGTTTAGAGTTATGTCGTTGATTCAGATGGTTAGGTTAATAGCTTGTTTAGAGAACCTTTTCATGATATGCTAATTTTTTGGGACAGGCATTTGGGGTTTTCATGAGCTGTATCCCATAATCATCAATATTAAAACAATTAAAGACCTGAAATATTTCAGTTGGTGTGCATCCATCCATCCATCAAACCATTATCTTTACCCGTTTATTCCATTTTAGGTCACGGGGGTCGCTGGTGCCCATGTCCAGCAATCACTGTGCGAGGGGCGGGGTACACCCTGGACAGGTCGCAAGTCCATCACAGGGCCACATAGAGACAAACGAGACAAACAATCATTCACTCCCTCACTCAAACCTAGGGACAATTTAGAGTTACCAATCAGCCTAACATGCATGTTTTTGGTCTGTGGGAGGAAACCGGAGTACCCGGAGAAAACCCACGCATGCACGGAGAGAACATGCAAACTCCACCCAGAGGGCCCCTGGACCGGGATTTGAACCAGGGACCTGCTCGCTGAGAGGCAGCAGCTCTACCAGTTGCGCCACAGTTGGTGTGCAATGAATCGGAAATCTATGAAAGTTTCATTTTTATCATTACATTATGGAAAATAATGACCTTTATCACAATATGCTAATTTTTTTAAAAGGACCTGTAACTGCACACCTACCTATCCAGGCTGTCATATCGTAAAGTTTGCAAATGATACAGTGGTGATGGGATGTATCACAAACAACGATGAGTCCAGCTACAGGTAGGAGATGGAACACCTGGAAATCTGGTGCAGGAAGAACAACCTTCACATCAGTGTGAAGAATGCAAAGGAGATGGTTGTGGATTTCAGAAGGACCCCCCCCCCCCCCCCCCCCCCCCCCCCAAAATATAGGAGGATCTGCGGTTGAAGTGGTCTCCAGCTACAAGTACTTGGGTATGCACCTGAAAGACAACCTCTGCTGGGGCAACAACACTACCAGCCTGAACGATAAAGCACAGCAGAGACTCTATTTCCTCAGGTAGTTGAGGCAGGCTGGACTGGGAAGCGCAGCCCTCACCTCCTTCTACAGGTGTGCAGTGGAGAGCATCCTGTGCTCCATCACTAACATGTGGCATGGAGGCTGCACAGCTGCAGAAAGAAAAGCTTTGCAGAGAGTGGTGAAGGCTGCACAAATGACCATTGGAGTCAGCCTCCCCTACCATCACAGACATCTACACTACCAGATGCAGGAAGAGGGCCACCTCTATCATGAAGGACCCCACTCACCCAGTACACACACCTTTTGCACCGCTCCAATCAGGCAGGAGATTGCGGAGCATTAAGTGCAGAACCACTGACTAGACTGAGGAACAGCTTCTACCCTGAAGCTGTTAGACTCATAAATTCCTAATCAGGATTATTATTGTGGAAAATAAAAAATAAAAAAATCAATGTAATACCACTTTGATTGTTGATATGTGCTGATTATCCATGCTGCTGATCTCATGCTGTCATCATTATTTTATGCCGCTGTATTCATTTGTACTCATCTACTCACACAGACTCATGTTCGTGCTGCTGTTGTTCGGCATATTGTTTTGTACTTTTAGTGTTTACCGTGTTTCTTAGCGTGTTTTTTAGTTTATACCTTAGATCCTTATTACTGTTTCTTTTTTAAATTTATTTTTTTGCTCTTGTTGGATGTAAACTGGGACCCTGTGTACACAATTTTGTTTCACCTCATGTACCACATGCAATGCTAATGACAATAAAGAAACTTGAACCTTGAAGTTCTGGAAAACACCTGATGAATCTGGAGCCACTTTTGGATGCAAACATAAAAAAACCTGAAGAGTTTGGGCCCCAAATTAATAATAATAATAATAAACCTTCATAAAAGCAGATTTTTACTGTTCCAAGAGATATAAACAAGTCATTCCTGGGATTTTGGTATTTTTCTGAAAATCTGTTGTTGACTCACAATTTTAGGAACAATTTTAGGTTTAGGTGATGAAAACATTGATTCCTTTATTTCCACCTTACATATGATTTCAGGTCTCTGCTTTTTATTCAAACTCCATTTAGCCTTCATCTCCTCCTCATCATCGTCAATCCCCGCATTTCCTCAGATCATTAGCTAGAGGGCCATAGCTACGACTCAGGATCTCATTTAGTTTCCTCCACCTGTGTGTTTCAGAGACAGAGTTGTTGAATCACTTTACTGAGATGAAAAATCTTAGGAACGTCACGTTTTTATTCATCCAACCTTTATTTAAACAGGTTAGTCCCATTGAGCCACAAGGACTCATTTACAAGAGAGACCCGACTGTATGAGTTTATGGGTGTAATAAAGGATTGATGAGTCTGTGGGCTGAGCTCTTGAGCCAACTCTTTCGTTTATAAGCTGAAGCTCAGCTCAGAATCAGATCCATTTAATTTAGCTTGCTGATGTGGAAGATCACTTACAGGAAGCAGATGATGGCAGCTGTCACTCTGCTTCCCTTGCTTCATATTCAGAGATTGGAATTTCAGGACAAGTGCTGCTATTGGCTCTATTCCAGACATTAAAGAAACAGTTCACACATTTAGCGCTTGTTTTGAGCGCTTTCTAGTATTTTAATTTTTAATACAACCCTGACTCTGACAAACATTGGTTTGTTGAGTAAAAGCTTTGTGTCACAATAGAACAAAGTAAACAAACTTACTTGAGCATTGTTTAGAAAATATAATGGAGTGAACTCATATGTTTAAACTTTTTCCAGGTCCACATTCCCTCTGAAGCATCTCATGCTCTTCTGACAACAGTCTGTAAATGTCCAAGACCTAAGGAAACCAGTTCTTTGAGGTTTTGGAGGACCCGATGAGACCAGCTGCTGGTTTTGGAGGACCTGAGACCACCAGGTGTTGGAGGTTCTGGAGGACCCAAGTAGACCAGTTGTTGGAGGTTTAGGAGGATCTAAGGACACCAGCTGTTGGAGGTTCTGGAGGAGCTAAGGAGACCAGTTGTTGGAGGTTCTGGACAACCTGAGGAGACCAGTTGTTGGAGGTTCTGGAGGACCT